AAATTGGTTCAAATCATGCAGATATCTTGAAAAGGGAGTGCTTTAGAGGAATTTTGACCTCATGTGATGATGGCTTCATCAGGAGACAAGTCACGTGACATTAAACCTGCACTCTTTAAGACCCGATATCTTCTGAAGTACATGTCTTATCGGCTTCAAATCTTGCAGATATCTTGAAAAGGGATTGCTGTAGAAAAATACTGACCTCATGTGATGATGACTTCATCATGAGACAAGTCACGTGACATTAAATGTGCCCTCTTTAGAGCCCTGTATCTCGTGAAGTACATGTTCTATCAGGTTGAATCTTTGCAGATAGAGAGGTGTTACATATGAAAAATTACTTGATGTGATGATCCCTTAGTTGTTCAAATGTAAAAAAGAATGCTAAAAAGCCCTCTTTTCTGTTGGCAAACAAACAGATAACCTCTCGTTTCTTTTTTTCCTTTTTGTTTTTTAGCTGTTTCGGGCACAGGCCGAAACAGTGACGTTAAATGCGCACTGTTTTGGAACTATATCTCCTGAAGTGGATGTCTGATCGGATTCAAATCTTGCAGATATCTTGAAAATGGCGTGCTTTAGAGGAACGTTCGCTTTATGTGATGATGACATCATCAAAAGACAAGTCATGCAACATTAAATGTGCACTCGAAGAATTTATTAATAATTTTTTTCAAATTGAATTTCTACAGAGATATATAGCCAGTATAGCTAATATTTTGGCAACTGAGCTGTATTCCGTGAAACTGTAATATTATCATATCAAATCTATTTTGTAAACATTCTTCTTTCCTCTTACGATTTGATTAAAACAGCAAACTCCGAAACAGCCTGTGTTTGTTGATAAACAACACCTCTAGTTTTGTTTTGTTTTGTTTTGTTTTGTTTTGGTTTGGTTTGGTTTGGTTTGGTTTGGTTTGGTTTGGTTTGGTTTGGTTTGGTTTGGTTTGGTTTCGGCCAATTTCATGTTACCATACCAGATGGTAATAGACAATAACGCTTTCAATCACAATGGCATTAATTATCTCCAAACTTCTTGCTAAGCCTTCCTGACACAATACTTTACATGTTCATCCCGTCCAAAAGAATTTGAATTAAAAACATCAAGAAATTTGAACACTAACGTCCTTTCCACCTCTTACCCACTGATACAAAAAGGCAAGACATCATGATTCCTAGACCTGAAATATATAATCACTTCCTCTGTCTTGGCCGCATTTAGCTCAAGATTTTTCTGAACACCATTAAACCAGTTTGTCGACTTGCTCACGGTAATGACGTCCATCACTCGCACAATTATCCTCCAAACGTTGCATCGTCGGCAAACACCCGCAGCGCTCCAGTATTGAGAAACGATGGCTTTGAGCATTTCTCACCAACACGGACAACTTGTGATCGATTAGTTAAAAACTAAAAACCCAACTGCAAACATCGGAATCTACTCCTATCTGTATAAGCTCATAAATAAGTGAAGATGGTAAATGAGTATTAAAAGCTGAGCTAAAATCAAGAAACAGTAATCTGGCATAAGTAGAAATTCTGAGTTCCAAATGCTGAAGCACACAATGAATGGTGAGAATAACTACATTTTCAACCGCTCGATAGGTGGACTGATACGGGTCGAGACGCTTGGGAGTGGCTGATTTCAAATAGCTAAGAACCAATCTTTCAAATGACTTCATCAAATTAGACGGCAAGGCCACAGGTCTATTATCATTTGTACATGCAATTGCAAATCGTTTTGGAATCGGTATACAATTTCTGACTTTTTCAGAATGTTCGGGACAACAAAGATCTGTAAAGCCAGTTGCAAAGAAGTGTTGCAATAATGCACAACTCGCCCAATGCATATTCAGTGGACTTGAATACTTGTCTGATATCCGATTCACTGATAACCAAGGACTGTGTCTCTGTCTGTGGAATGTCAGGGGTCGACTCTGGTTCATGACGATTTTAATGAGCAAAAATCTCATTCAAATGCTCTGAACATCTACCATCGCCTGTAATTGCCGTTATTTTGTTTTGTATGGAATTACCTTCCACGTGCTATTCCCCATCTCTAATTACTTTTTGTACCGACTTTTTGCGGCTCTGACGGCTTTACGCACTTGGTATTTAAAGTTCTTGTATGCTCCCTCATCCTGCTGCTGCCATGCTTTTTTGCTTAGCCATTAGTTTGGCTCCGATTTCATCTCTAAATCATGGCTTATCGTTACTGTAAGTTTCAACTATTTTCCTGGGGATAAATATTTCCACGCAGAATGTTATACGATCAATGACAACCGCAGCACTATTATAGATGTCCCAAGGATCGCAAAGCACGTCCCAGTCAGTACATGCAAAACATCCTTGTAGCTTACATACAGCTGCCTCATTCCACTTTGCGATAGTTTTAGTTATTGGTCTGATTTTCTTCAACGACTATCTGTAAGCTGGAACAAAGTGAATCGTATAATGGTCCGACTCTCCAAGGGGAGTCCAAGGGCTTTGTAAGCATCCTTAATAGTGATGTCGCCGTGATCGATTGTCTTTTCCTTGCGAGTAGAGCACTTAACATGTTGGTAGAAGTTTGGCAGACTAGTCTTATGATTCGCATGGTTGAAGTCTCCTCAAACAATCACACAGGCACCCGGATTCGCGTTCTCGAGGGACGTCACAATGGTAGCAAACTGTGATACAGCAACCCTTGCATCGGCATGGTTGTTTTCGTCTAAATGTGTCCTATTTTTACATGGACATTTTGTGGAGGATCCCATTCAGTTAATGTTTCATTTACAAGAACGATACCATGGCAGGCCAAAGCAGTGCATGTAGCGCAATGCATCGCATCGACAAGGCCACATCCTTGCAATGTACAATAATATGGTAGATTTGATTTAGTAGGTATGAAAAACCTTTTTACATAAGATCAAATCATAGAATGACAGAGAAACAGCAGCACGGCGGTTGCATTTCATATTTAATTTAAAATACTATTTTCAAGTGATTGCAAAATGTTTTGAGGTCGTGTACAAAAAGTATGGACGCCACACGAATAGACATTTTATGATGAAATCGGGTGTTTTTTGTTAACAAGAGTTGGACGATGTCGACTTCTGGTTAGATGACACCACGTGTTTTTTACTGGATGTAACGATGTAGCATCATTATTGGTGCAAGATACCATGTCTAATGTGTATGAATTGAGGTAGTCAGGCAAACGGTGAAACTGATCATCTCAAAATTCTTCGAGTATCGAGTCTGTATCATCACCTATCGAGTTTTGTCTGCATGTTCGTATTACATCCTTTGCACTCTATGACGCATATTCTGCTGTCCGCTATCCTTTATTTCAGACGGTTTTCTGTGGGGATATTTTGAGGCTAACTTTTCGGTTTTCCTCATTTGCACCCTCCAAAAATACCATGGCATTACACAGCCTGATATAAAAAATACAGAGGATCGGTGAAGCCTTTGCAAAATAATGTTTGGCGTAAGTGTACACAATCTACCATGACCAATTGAGGCAAAGTTTAAAAATGGTATCTGCCGTATGGAAATAATGTACGTTGCGCTGGACGCGTTGCAGAAATCCTGACGGTACATTTTAGTCGATTTTCCCGCGAAATGGAAAACATCTCTCGGCTGGCTGAATGTATTTGTTTGGTTTATTCAGGTTTAGATAAAGAAAGAAAATTTAATATGATTTTTATGTACTGGAATTTCAAGGCTTAATCTTGTTTAAGTTGACCGGGCTTAACTGTAACCTTTTGAGGCTCACTTTTACGTGGAATAAACAACGATTCTACGGTGTTCATTTTTTTGCAGAAAGCCGCCAGTTTAAATACCGAACGTCTCGTTATTAAATTACCTTTCCTGTAATTGTAGAATTTATGTGATTGACTCTCCGAGCAGACTCCGCCCCCTAAAACATACCCTTCATCCATGTGGCAATTGTAGTCTCCAGGTCAGTTCCCAGTTATGCCTGAACCTAAACGACTGTGTTATGGTTGCGAAGGTCCCCTCTAACTAGATTCCATTATTCCGTTGTGAAGTAGTATCAGGTCACAACCCAAACAGCTGGACCAGTCAGCATGTCTGTAAAAGAATCAGCAGCCACGCACCCAAAATCACACCCTTATTCCCTGAGGTGATTTTTGTCCCCAGGTCAGTTTCCAGTCATGCCTAAACCTGTACAACCTGTTCAAATGTTTTATGGTAGCTAATACATCCGTGAGGTCCCCTTTAACTACATTCCGTTATTCTGCTGAGGAAGTACAAGTAATACCAGGTCACAACCTAAACAGCCGTGACCAGTCAGCATATGTCTGTCAACAAAGGGATCCAGTTCCTGATAGCAACCATATGGGCTGCTTGGGGCGACAGATCTTTCAAGAATTTTAACTCGGCAGCGGTTGTGGTCTAGCCAATGGGAGTTTACAGGCTTGTGGTGTATGCCTAAGGTGACGATTACCAAAACGTCTTTGCCAATTTGGCCCATTGAAAAAAGTTATGACCATATTTGGTGATAGCTGTCGATCTCAATCCCCGCGCCGATGACACCAGGGAAGGTTGTAACACCGGGCTTAACTATTTTTGAAACCCTTTTTTGAAATCAGTCTTTCTGCAGAAAGCCGTCAGTTTAAACACCAAACAACCCTTTACTAAATTATCGTCCTGTAATCGTAGAGTTTATGTGATTGATTAAGGTTGTAATACACGCTCCTGTTAGGACTTATCAAGATTGGAAAGCCTTGTCCGGTTGTACTCTTTAGTAATATGTGCCAGTGGAGGGATTACACGTCGCCATTATGGTAAAGTTCGAAAAACGCAGCCCTATGCACTGCGCTGAAACAGTTAAGCAAGTGCATACCCAGAAATAGCTAAAACATTTCCTATATTTCCTATATTGCAGTGCCACGTGGTTGAACAAGTTTCTTGCGCGTTGCAATGTATTGGACAGTGGGATGCATAATGTACACACGTTCCTTTTGAATATTTTCTGTGTGTTTTTGTTTCAGTTTCCGCTCTTGTCCACGCTCCGATGGCCTTCTTCTTCGTTATCGAAGAATACTGGTACTTAGGCCAGTTACGGGACTATTGCCTGATAAGTCTGGAAAAAAATAGTATCATCGGATACTATTTGTTTCTCAGCATGTCAACATTCGTCATACCTCTTCTCATTATAGCTGTGTGTTACATCCGTATACTGTCACATTTGTGGAATCTAAGCCGGGTAAGTAGGCTCAGGGCGCCCGCAACGACGGCTGCATACGATCCTTTGTCTCAGAACCCTCGTTCTACCACCCTCCCCCCTGCACAGAGCTCAGCACGCACCGCCAGCAAAACTTGGAAGACAACAAGAATCATCCTGAGTGTTGTCATGCTTTTCGCCGTTTGCTGGGCACCAAAGCAAGCTGTGAATGTGTGGACCGCCTTCCACGAAAGCGCTGACACATCAGAACAATTATTAAGCGTCAACGCGATCACTTTGTGTCTGATTTACGCCAATTCATGCATAAACCCATTTGTGTATGCTCTAGCAGGCGCCAACTATCGACACCATCTGAGACAGATGCTATTTGGGAACCAAAAGAGAGGGCGCTCTCTCGACAGCCGTTTCTCGCCAACCGGTGGTGCTAACTCCTCTTACAGGTCAGTGCGTCGGCTGTCCCGAACTGAGGCAACTTCTGTGAGTACCTGCGTTTGAAGAAAAAGTGAGTTGCAGAGCGAAACTCATTCGACTTCATGACATATTTCGGGAAACTGGTAATCTGCTAAGTATTACATTGCCGACAGCATATCTTTACTAGTCTGCAGTCTCAATACTTTGGATATGCGCTGACGCCATTTGGCTATAGTAATTCTCCAGTTCCTTCCTCAGATCCCGCACAAGCAGACAAATATAACAAAAAATAAAGAGAAGTATAAGTTTGCAAAAAGACGTTTTAAAAATTTTGCACGACAACTGTTTACAGCATCCCCTGAGACTAAAGCTTAAGAGAAGCTGTTTTGCTGAAATTGAAGTGAAACTGAAGATTATAATCGAAAAAGACTTGAGATATTTATAAGTACACAGTGACGACATATCTGTCTTTTCAGCCAAGAATTAAATCTGTAATTTGGGTCCATTAAGAACAGAAGGAATGAAAAAAAAATGAGTTTGGTTTTGTTTAGGTGTTTATTCCAAGAAGAACATTTGGGAAATGTACTGTTTGCTGGACCATTTCACTTAGACGATTTTACCACCATTGATTTGTAGTTGTGCGCGTGGGTGAAGCTTTTATGCTAGCTTTACATATCTCGCGTGTGAACAAAGAAGGTCCACATAATTCAGGTTGTGTTAAACTTGTGTGGACTAACTCAGGTCCACACAATTTTTACAACGAAAACTAGGGAACTTCCAGCTTAGGTAAGTAATGTAAACTGTGTATATGTAGTGGTTTAGGCCTTCCCTGTGTTAAGGGGACAATTTCTTTTAAGTTGAAACCGCATTTTTGAGACAAAAATTTGTCCTCAAAAGGTTTTTGATCCCTTTGATGACGTCTACATTCCAATTTTTTTCCATAAGTATGGGTGTGTGGGTAGGTGGGTGTGGTTGTGTGGTTATGTAAGTGTATGTGAATATGTATTAGTTCCAAAGGCTCTATGCTTACAGTAAACTTGAATTGAAATGTTCATACCAGTCTTTATTAGTAGTAATAAAAATTATCTTGTAATGTAGATAAAGGCTTTTACTTAAGCGTGTGGTAAAATACATCCAAAAATCGAATTTTCTGAATTGCAATCATAATACGCACCTCAGAATTGTGCATGTAAGGTAGTAGCTAAAAGTGGAGTGGCATCTTGTATATGTATCTTGTGTGTATCTTGCTTGCATACATGTATGTATGAAATAAGAGCGACTTGTTTATTGCCGTGTATAAACCGATATCCCTAAACTGCTGTGGTATAGATAGTGTTTCCCATTCACCATGTATGGATTTTTCTCACTAGCCCTTTATTTCTATAGTTTATTTACGCATTTGAATTGTGTAAAATAGGTGGTAATTTTAATAAAGAGACATCAAGGGAAAACTCAAACATATTTCAAAAAAATCTAATCTATTCGGCACATACGATAAAGAGATCTTGTTTTCCAATTTGGCAGTATTTTTTGCATTCCGAAAGCCTCACATGAAGGGGAAAAAACCCGTGTGCAAACTTACCATAAGGCTCATGAGGCTGTGCTTGAATCAAAATGGCTACATGTATTGACATGGCTACAGCCGTTGGAAAGGCAGCCATATTGAAGCCTAGTCAGAAACACTTGGTTATGGACGTGACTACAGTCAAGAATACACTAATTTCAAGCCAAAGGAAAAGTGCCTAGCTTTGCAGTCGAGGTGCAGGATTTTAAAAAAAAATTAAATAAGGCAGCTAAAAGTAAGATTGAAACAAAAAACAAACTGGAAGTAAGAATAAAAAGGCGCACAAAAGTAAATGTTTCTGAACAAAATTAACAGTCTTGGTCTGTTGATGTTATGGCATATACCTCCACCTGCAGAAGCAAGGTAAAAGTCAAGAACTGAGCATCAAAGGGAGTGAAGCTTCACACATTTTGGTGTCACCTAATATTTTTCTGCAGCGTTAGCATGGTTTGAACTAATTATTCCCTACATGTTAAATTTTGGGGTCTTTTAGGCTTATGTCTAGTGATGCCGCCACCCCTTGTTAGCATTGTGAGCTTCCTTATGAAAATAAACAGGGAAGTAAAGGGTCAAGATTTGAAGCTCCATAGGAAGCATATAAGGGTCATTACATATCAGACCAACACACTTTCTGACGTTGGGCCTTCAGATTATGATAAAAATTGCTGTGCTTGTAGACATTAATGAATAATAAATACTTTTAAGTACTTATAAATAATTTTAAGCGGAATCCGCCCTTCCATGTGGTCAGGACAGAGATCAACAAAATGGACAGTTTCACTTAAAAATCCACCCTTTTAGTAAAAAGGATACATAACCATCTCAGTTTTTATTGAATATATGCAAATGTGGTATCAAAATAATCAGAAGAAGCCAGAGTAATATACCGGTTCAGAGCCAGAGCAATATACCGGTATCTCACACAAAAGTTATCATTTCATTTGAGGGGCCCATTTTAATTTTAATTATGGGTTTTGCCCTTGTAACGGAGTCTGAATATATGAGAACTAAGGCGCTGTCATGTGTTGAGTGGGCAAAACGTAAAACCTGAGGGTACTATAAAACTACATGTACTTACTACGCTACTGTATGGCCACAATTGAGTACATGCAAGTCAACAGGGTTGCACAAGTTTTAACCCTAAAAGAGCCAGGGAGTTTTTCCAGTGTGTAACAGAAGCCTGTATGTAATCAGTCACATCAGCCTTGACGAGTTTTGTAACTATTTGCAGCCATTTTGACACCAATTGTGCATGTATCCGAGAACTCCAAATGAACTTAGCTACAAAACCGTACGTCTGATTGAGTTCAAACTTCACATTCATGTCGCAGATTTTGCCTCCTCCCCCGTCTCTTTCAGGTTAAAACTTGGTTATTGTTTTGCTGACACTGTAACTCTTTGGAATGAGTGTGAGAACCTGAAGCTGGTCTTTCTATTGTTAACTGTAGCAAATTTCTCATTCATCAACTGTTCCAGCATTTCATCTGGGGCTGTTGGCTGTGGAACCTGTTGAATTCCGGGTATAAGACTAAGAAGTTAACATTTTTGTAAAGTTCTACCTTAATGTTATCACCATTAACCCTTTGGAATGCACCTTGCTTGCATGTACTTGGAGGGGATCACAGCACTTCAGCTGAGTAGCAGAGTACAACTTTCCAAGTTGTTGGAAATGTGGTAACATGTGCTGCTTAATGTTTCACAACCCAATCTAATGAGACATGAATGCAGTTATTCATCATCACTTGGGTAGTAATGTTCAGTGTCATCAGAACAAACATGTACCTCATCGACTTGCCCATTGAACAATTGATCCATTGTTTTATACTACCATTTATACCCAAAGACAAGACAGATCATTTGAATAAAATCCTTAAAATAGGCATATTTTAAGGATTCAATCTTCACCTTCAATCCTCTTGATACCCATTTGAAATCCACAAGAGTTTCTGCTTTTCCCATACAGGTGGCTACTCAACACAAATTTCTTTCACGTATTTCTCTAAGTGAAAGAAAGTCGGTTTTAAGTGTCATACTGTTGAGTTGTATGTACTCAATTGTGCCCATACACGGTGCAAGGGCAAGTACAGTAGTGTAGCGAGTACCGAACATGGAGTCTTTAGCACCCTCAAGTTTTACGTTTTGCACAGTCAACACATGACAGCTCCTTGGTCCTCATATATTCAGACTCGGTTACNGATTGCCGACGTGGATCCAGTAACTCCAAACATGCTCCTTATGGGCGACGGGATCCAGCACTTCCGATGGTGGTCTATGACGAGAGAGAGCTGAAGGGTCGCAGGAATTGGCGGCACAGTCAAGTACTAGCCGATCAGTTTTGGCGTCACTTTGTTAGGTCCTATCTCCCTAACCTGCAAACCCGCCAGAAATGGCCAAGGGAAGAGGAAAACCTGTCGGAGGGAGATGTTGTGATGATAGCAGATCCCCAGCTCCCAAGGTCTCAGTGGCCAGTGGGGACGATTACACAAGTGTTTCCTGGTGATGACCAGAGAGTGAGGGTAGTCAGTGTTTAAGTCAACGACTGAGAGTACAAACGCCCAGTGGCCCGGCTGGTGCGACTGGCAAAGTATGATGAGGGTGATACTCCTGGTTTGGCCAATCTGTTACTAACCCAAACTCTCATTCCCTTTAGACTTTGTGGGACGAGGAACTGCTTGTTTGAGTAAAAAAAAAAACTGTGTTCTCATCGCAACTGCGTTCTTCAACTTTTTATCGTTTCAACTGAAGTGTTACGTTTTTGCCGTTGCCTTAACAGTTAGCAAATTTCTTGGTGAAATTTGGTGGCGGCCATGTTGCAGCAGTGCCGAATTTTCACGGCT